TGAGACCCAGAGTGCCCAGTAACATGTTAAGATTTGTTTCATTGATCACATACATGAATTCTTTGTAAAAGTGTGGACTGTTTATAAAGGAGAAAGAGATAATATTTCAGGTAATAATGATGCTAATATTCTACCCAGTGCCTGCCTAGAACATTGGGGATGTTTGTTGAATTAAAATAAGTGTACTCTATTGAATTTTAAAACACATTTTTGACACTTTCTTACTTCATATAGATTAATTCTTTTGACCAAATTGTATTTCATAAAATAGATCTACTTGGTTTGGAGTTGATTTTTTTTTTTTTGCTTGTTTCCCTGAAAACGTTCATTGCACTCTGATTTTTTAATCTTGTATTTGCTGAGGAGCACAGCTTCCTAACACACTGGAGAATTTTTTGATTGACTTGCAGACAGCTGGTCCCATTGCAATGCTGTTTAAAGTGATTAAAATTATTGCAGAGACATATTCCTTTAGAAAATGTTACAGATTTTGCTCTTGGGAGTATTTTGCATGTCTGCATTTTTTGGATGCTTTGAGGGGAAAAAAAACCTTTATGAAATAGAGTAAAGGCTATACTAACATGTAACACTTATTTTTGGCTGACATTACCAGCTTTGTGGCCAAGGTACCCAGGTGGCTAATTAAAGCAGGGAATTTAATGAAATAGTGTGATTTTCTATAGCTATCAGAGATGAAAGCATTGGAGGTTAGACAACACACACTACTGTAAAATAAAATCTGAATGCTACTCACGTATCCGCAGGAGCTTAGTTTAATATTTGTCTTAAAAAGTTGAACTGAAGGAATTAAATGTCCTGTAGTTGGACTGTGAGATCAATTTCTGTGCTGCTCCAGAAGAAGAAAAAGCCCCAAGCATGGTTGAAGTGTAGTCATTACAGTTCTATTCATACCAGCAGGAGCTCAGTGGTGCTGCTGCTTTGCTGTTTAACTTCCTGCTGGCCCAGGGTCTGGGTCTCCATGGCACTGATGTCTGTTTGCTGCAGAGACATTTCAGTTAAAAGATTAAATAGAATGAAAAGTGCATTTGAGGTAAGGGCATCTTGCTGTTTGCTCAGGAGAATTGATGGGCTCTAAGTCCTTTGGACTGGATGTCATAAGAGATAAAGCTGAAGGGCTCTTGGAGGATGTTTTGTCTCCTCCTGTCGTGCTTGGATGTGTGATGCACTGAGTGTATCTAAATATTTAGCAGTCATAGAGGATGGTTCTTCAGCAGCAGAGAAGTCAGAGCTGCTGCAGTCTGCTGACTCCAGCGCTGGTATTCTGAGACCTCTTTCCTCAAAAAATTGTTGGATGCTGAGAAAAACAGAGGTGTTGGCATTGCTGTCATTTAGACACCTGATTTTAAATCTAGTGCCCAGTTGAGGTGCAAATTGATTACTGTGGAGCATTTTGTGTATTCAGAAAGATTATAAAAATTATCCCAAGTTAGAAAGATTGAAGAAGAGGATGATTTTTAATGGAGTTTCATATCTAAGGGGAATGAATATTCAGTTAAGAGCAATGTTTATCTAGGTAATCTAGATTTGCAATGTTAATCAATGGCAATCTAATGTTAATTTAGGTAATCTAATTCAGTTAAACTAGGTATAACAAATTAATAAACTTAATGAGTAGTAAGGTAGCTTCTAAAAGATTTTTATTACTTTATATTATCTTTTTCTCTTCTTTAGGAGTGAGACAATGTCTAATGTACTAAAAAAATAAGATTTTATTTAGAATTTTTTCTTTTTCCTGATGTTCATCTCTTCTTTATTAACTGCCAATATTATGGATATCTTGTATTTATGTGGCATGGGGTGTTTGCTGGATACTGCATGTCCTCATATCTCTGATGTTGAATTATCAAAGAGTTAGAAGATGCCTAGGATATCATCCTTTAATTTATAATTCTGGAACAGAACAGAATTTCCTTCTTTAAATTTTTTTCAAATTATTTTACTCTATTCAAAGTATGTTTATATTCTTGTTCTGTTTTCAAGACAGTTTAGTTTCACTCTGAATTATTTTCTGTTCCTAAGCTGCTAGATATTCTATAACAGTTGCTGACTGGCTTTAACCATAGGAACACAAACAAATGTAAATTTGTTATCTGAAAAACTGTCATCAATCCTGCTTTTTAATGTTTGGCCAAGATTAAGCATCTGTGCAGAGAGTTAGTCATCTCTGCTGCTTTTTAAGTCTGCTTTGTTTCTTAAATGTTTATGAGCTCAGAACATCATTTCTTTAAGCCAAGTGTAGTGTTGGCACTATTTCATCGTGCTGTGGGCTTGAGTGCTTCAGAACTGGTTTGTAGCCTGGCTTTCCAGTTCTGTGAAGTTTGTAAAATCACAAGTGCAGCAGAGTGGTGGGTTTTAACTAGCTTGGGATGACTGTGATGTCTGGCTCAGAGGTTAAAGAATTAACCTAAAGGAGAATAGATAAATAATAATAATAAAAGAATAAAATTAACACTAAAAGAGATTAGATGCCCAACTTCAAAATGAAGTATAACAATGAGAGAGCTGTGCATTTCATCTTCCTGCACTGAGGCAATTGCACTATTAGAAAATGCTACATAAGCAGAAAATTATTAACTTGTGATGGTAGGAGGAATTCTACTGAGCAGACCCATGAAATGCACACTTCAGATTTATAAGAGGTGTCTTAAGCAGTAGTCATTATTTCATTTTGTCTAATGAATTTTGTGGTCTTAGAGCTTTAAATTCAAGCAGTGTAGCAGAACAAATGAAATTATTTCCACATGATATAGAGAAATGGAGACATAACTGTGCATATCAGCATTGTTACTAGTAAGCTATGTGAATATTTTATCATATGTCCTCTATGGTCATGGCATATATTTTATGCTGATTGGGTACTGTTCCCAAATATTTTTCTATTTCTCATGTATACTTTTCACTTATCCTAATCTCCTACTTTATTCAAAAGTATTTTAGAAGCAGTAGAGCCACATGAAAACATATCAGAGCAAGCAACTCAAAAATTCTACTGAACCAAGGATTGTATTTGATATTTGCTATTAATAAAAAAAAAAAGCTGGTGGGAAATATGTTTTTGTACTTATTTGCTGCATTGAACTCCCCCAGTACTTTTAATGCAGGCCTGAAGAAAACTCCTCAGCTGGGCTCTTTAACAGTAGCATTTTCTGTTCATTTCCATAGGTGGGTAGCCAGTTGTGGCAAAAAGACAGTCTATGACAGAGCTTGCTTTTATTTCCCTCTCTTCAAGATTTTGCCTATCACAGGCACCAGATGTTTTTCCTTTGCAGCTTTACCATGTTCTGCTTTTCAGTGTGGTATTAGAGAAGCTGAAATGGGAAGTTGTGTGAGGCATGGGTGATGAAAGAAGCAGCTAGTCTTGGCATAAAATTAAACTTCTTATAGAGATTAAATGCAAATGAATTTATCATTTACTCAACATGAGATTGGAAACCGATTTATGTTTTAACAGCACAAAGCCATATTGCACCACCAAAATTCCTGCCAAATGCATTTATCTATGAAATTGTGGAAGTGGGTTTTTTCCAATATTCATTTTGGTTTTATGCTGAGCAAGTCTGTGCTCACAATTATGAGACAGAATCATGACAGGGAACTGATTTTCACTTGGACCTGCAAGCAAATTACCTATTTTTGAACTAGTTGTCCATGCTTTTTTTTCCTGGGCAAGTTTATGGTACTTTTTTTTAGTTATAATTGATTGGATTTTCTCTAATGTGCTGTACTTATAAACTTTTACATGAAGTGTCTTCTAAGAATTTTTAATACCATGGCATATTTATTGATTGCAAATTAATTGTTAATTTTTGATCATAAATAAATAGTGAAAAAAAACACTGCTAGGACAAAGAAATCAGTGATAGAAGAAAATATTGAATGACCCAGTTTCTATAGCATAATAAAATCTGTGCAAGAAATGTATTCTATAACTTTTTTCACTGCTTCTGATGTGGAAGCAAAGGAGGGATTTTCAGTGATCCTTTTGGGCATTGAACAATATTCTCTTCATTTGCCACAATAGGATTAGTGAGTAGATCTCATTAGGAATTTGCACGTGACTTTTATTTTTTATAGATAAAAGGGAGCAAATTCCTTCATTTTAAGAAAGTCTGGAAAAAAAAAATCTAGGAATTTGAGGAGGTAGGAATTATTACTGCAAGGATATATTTTCATTACCTGACAGACAAAATTAGTTTGCCTTCTTTCTTAAAAAAAGTGTATGTTGAGTCTCAGAAATGCTTCTGGCAACTTAATAAAATCTACAATAAAAGATAATTAAAATTGAAACAATTAATTCTTTCTTATTAATACAATCTTAACAAAAGAGAACATGTAAGGGTGGCAAAGATTGTTTCGTTTCCTTAGGAATGGCTCATACATTGGTTTGTTGATTATCCTTTTTAGAAACAAGTCCCATTACAAAAAAATGACAGAAATGTTTTTGTCATGTACAAAACTATTTGTAAAGGCATCCTTTATTCTTCATGGCATATTTATTACCTGACCTACTCCATCACACTTTAATCCACCTAAACACTGTATTTGTAGTCCAAGTTTAAAAAAAATACAATTTCACAATGTACATTACTGATCACCTTCACCGTCTGCTTCCTTTGAAATGAATACTTGAAGCGCCTATTAAAATTGTTCCTGAATGTAGAGTGTGTAAGGATTGCTGGATCATCTCCCTCTTTCAAAAATTTTTCTGCATAGAGCTCAGAACATGTATGTGTTTTTGTGAGGAAATTAAAAAAAGAGAGAAATCTTGTCAGCCCAAATAACTGCTCTACCACTCTATAATTAAAAGCTGTTTTAATATGCCACCTTGAAAACAGGATGGAGTTTTATTGTTACAACTGATGCTTGGAAAACTTGTGTCTGTTGGAGAATCAATGTCCTGTGTTGTAGTCACTAAATTAATCTCTATTGCAAAAGAAGTGGTTGCAGTCATTAACACTAATTGTGTGTGCAATTCTTAGACATATGAAGGACCAAAACAAGAAGGTTGCCAATCTGAAGCACAATCAGCAGTTGGAGAAAAAGAAGAATGCACAGTTGTTGGAAGAAGTTCGTAGGCGAGAGGACAATATGACTGACAACTCTCAACATTTGCAAGTGAGTGTATTTTTCAATTTATTTTAAAGCTATCTAGGAAAATACACTTCTGTTCCAGTGTGTGTGTTCCAGAATGTGTAATGAATTTGTTCCCACAAAGAGCTGATGGGTCCTTCCTTTTCTACCAGAGGATGCACTGCTCACCTCAGTTGTATCCATGAAATATTTACTATTTAGGGTAAGGAAAGAACCAACAGAATTTGAGGACCTCTGCACAGTTGCTACATCAGCAACTGTTCTTTCTTACAGTTGGAAAGAAAAGGTTCAAGTATATAGCTTCTGTGTTTCAGACAGACTTTGAGCCTTATTCCTGGAGAATTTCTACAGTTTGTAAGTTACTGAGTTTGGTGGTTGAGAAATGAATGTTCTTCAACTATCTGTTTAAGTGATACATTACATACCAGGGAACTTTTATTCAAGGCCACAAATTTGATGCTTGACTTAAGAAGTATTCTCTGAGATCTGAGTGTGAAAAACCATGAAGAGAAGTGCTGATTTCTGTTGACAACATCAATGTCTCCATGCCCAGTGTTTATAGGCAATTTACAGTGCAAAATATCAATTTTGCCTTGATCTGGTTAATATAATGTGTTTCTGGAAAATTTCCAGTGGATGGAATTTGACCCTCTCATGCTTCATATGGTTGTATTTCTTATGTGTTCCTATATGCAAAATGGAAAAATTAACACCACATCTCTTCAGGCTTGTGTTGGTGAAGCTTTATGTCAGAATCAAGTTCAGGAAATGATACATTATTTATGCATCTGTGCAGTGTTATGTTTACTTTACAGCCTTGGTCATTACATACTGATTGCATCACCATGCATTCCAGTGCACAGGATAGAGCAATAAAAGCTTGTGAAGGGTTTGGTCTGCCAATATGATATATCAAAATTAAATTTCAGTGTTGAGCAGCTACTTGTAATTATAGTGGTTCAGTAAAGAGAATAAATTAAGCTTATTTTTCAGTATTTTGGAAATCTATTACAGTGGGGTGATGACTGGAGAATAGAAGCCATTCTCAGGATCCTTGATGTAACCGCTATATTTGGAGGTTTCTACTCGTGAGATGAGATTGGGTCTAGCAAATGGGTCTAGCAAATGGCTGAATGGCTTGAATTTAGAAAGAAAATACTTGTTTGGTGTACAGTTCTGTTCCATTCACTTCCTGTAAAGCATCGATACACTAGGAACAGTTTATGAAAACCAGTTAACCAAAAACATTTATTTCTTGTTACTATGCCTTAAAATGTCAATATTTTTAAATTGTGTCCTTCAGAATATTGCTTTCAGTAATATATATATTAGGTAAAATATTACATTCCCTGTAGCTGCAAGAACAGCAGGAGAAAGGGAGCCTTGGTTGTCTGTGCTGCTGGATTGCTGGTAGGGATAATCCTGCCTTGTCTGCCATACAGGCAATCAGCTGCTGTTATCAGTTTGCTGCTACAAACAGTTGTATTTTCTCAAAGATTTCCAATTTCCTTAACTTATTTCTTCTCAAGCGTTTCTTTAACTGAAGTGGTTAAGTGCTGAAGAGTTCATGGAAACTTGAGGTTCCCTGGGATTGCAAGATTTGTGAGGTTTTGCTGCTCTACAAAAACAATGTAGTGAGTCTTGCGAATAAAGTAAATGCTGTGACATTGAATAGTCAAGTCACAGTGCAGGTGACATGACTGATGTACATTTATTCTGCTGATAGGAAAGTATTTTCACTGGTACAGTTTATTTGTTTTATATGTGTAAGGTAATTACAAATGCTAGGTGAGAACATCAAGTCTTACATGAATCTGGTAAATAGGTGATTGACTTGTTGAAAAGCCAAACAAATTCTAATGCTCCAATCACTTAGCCTTGGTATAGAAAGGAATTTTTTTTTCATGATTTAAGAAAACTCCTCCTTCATGGAGTTTGCTTGTGTAAAAAAGTAACAGCAGTGATCTAAGGATTTAAATGGGGCAGCATTTTTGGGGAGACAAATGCTGTGACATATACTTTGAAAAAAATTTTAGAAGTACTATGCATCTGCTAATTAAAAACAGTTTAATTAACATCTTAGTAAACCATAGGGACTGGACCACCTTTTCATACTGCTCATAATAACTTCTACTGCTTTTAGTGGAAACACTCTGCATTTATATGCATTTATAACACAAAGTGCTTGTGTCTACAGTGTACTTGTTACATTTGTGAATGATGTATTGAGCTGTTAGGGGAAAAGTGTATCCTAAAATTCTCTGGCCTGATGTAATGACTGTATTTGTTGGCTAGCTGTGATAAGCTGGCTGTTGGCTGGCTGTGATAAGCTCAGCTGAGAATTGAAGAGCAGTCAGACTGGTCAAATTACATTTACTGCAGCCAAGTCTCAGTCCCTTTTGCAGAAGCAGTGGAAAAGATGAAATAAGAAAGTGGGTATGGACCATCCAGGGGCTGCCCAGGGCAAACTGAGATGATCAAGTGCCACCCTTCCTCTGCAGCTCCCACAGGGCCTGGAGCTGTACCTGTCCAGCTGTGTCTGATGGCTGTGCAGAGGCTCAGAAGGCTGGAGTTTCTTGGAAGCTTCAATGGTGTGTGCTCATTCCTGAGGCTTGGTGCACCATGTGTCCCCATTGGTGACACTGTTAGCAATCTTGTCAGGTAAAAGCCTCTCAAAGCTGGTTCCTGTGCCAGTGTCAGTGCTTGCAGGGCGAGTTTGAGTCTCTGTGGTCCCATCCCACAGCACTCCAGGGCCACTGCTGTGATGGAGAGTGCTCTGGGATGCCTGGGGAGGGAATTCGCTTTTGTCTGCCTCAGCTATTGCCTGTAATTGTGAATGATGCTTCAGGTGTGGTTTTGAGGGGCTCTTTGGATCACTGTAAAATTGGAAACATCAGGAAGCCAGATTGATTCTTGGGAATGAAGAATAGTGATGGGGTTTTCTGTTTTCTTCCTAACACAAATCAAGGGCAGACCTGTGCAAATCTTGCCAGACATGATGGTCATATATTACACAAAGCATCACAGCAGGAGAGCTGGTCCTTGAACACTTTATCATGAATTTCTTTGAGAATGGTGTATCTAACATGCTTTCATTTTTCTCTCTTTTTTTGGTCTGTCTTAAAAGTGATAAGCCTTTTTGAGAAACACTGAGCTAAGAAATATACAGATACCATGTTATAGATTTGTGCATAGTTCTTCAAGTCTCTACAGGATCTTGAAACCTTAGAGATGTGAGACTTGTTTATTCCCTGAAATTAATTTTTTTCTTGATTCTTGTGTGGAACATGTTTCTTCCAGCAACACTGGTACCTCAGTAGAATTGGGAAAGGAAACATTTGCATAACATTGAGAACTTAAATGCATTTGGTTTTGACTCTGATTTTCAAATCTGCTGTAATAACAACAACAAAGTCTTCTTGTTTCTCAAGAGTAAGCAATAAGGGTAAGCAATAAGAATATTCCCATGTGTCTCACAGCCTCAAAGGGAATTGAATATACACTGTTGTCTAATTATGCTTTTCATAGATGTAAAATATCAATAAGTGATCCAAGTCTAGAAACACTTCTTTGTGGAAATTTTATGCAAACTGTCCAATACATATGTGTCACAAAAAACGGTGCAGGGATGAACCTGAAAAGAGGTTTAATAATTTTAATATCCTATTCTACCCTGATCTGCAGCTTCTGGGTGTTTCCCCCTTTTCTTCCAGTTCATCTGCTGGCAAAGTTCTTGACTCTCCTTATGTTTTAAATGTTTGGGTAATTTGTCACAATTGTCTTTGAGGTAGCTTGGGTTTTCTTTGGCTGGAAATCCACATGCGGAAAAGAGATATTTCATGACCAAAATTGTTTTTGAGTGAGACAATGTGTAGTTCTCATTGATTTCAAATATCATGTACAGGCAGCTTGATCAATGGTGTATGCCTGCAGAACTGTAGAACAGATTGTGTACACATGTACATTTTCCAGGTGTAAATACCTCACTTTTTAAGCAGAGTTCAGCTTGTCAGTCATGCTTTTTCATGGGATGTAGTGAGGCAAGGCAAGAGTTCCAGTTTTCCAATAGCTCTGTACTGGCTGGAAATTTAGTCTTAGGTAATGAATAAAACATGATCAGGAGGAAGTCCTGTCAAAAGAGATAAAAAAACTGGCTAGTTAATATTACTGCTTTCGGATTCTTGCCATGTGAATATCTGTGATGTCTTGATCACTGAAAATAGCTCCCAAGAGGTTTCACAGCTAGTCAGCATGAGTGCTTAACCCTGGATTTGTTTCTTTATTTGTCACTGTGTGCTTTACCATATAATCCTCAGTTCCATAATAGCTCTAAAAATACAAAATGTACCCAAGACATTGCACATTGCTGTATGTTACTTCTGTGTCTTATAAAACAGCATGGCCTAAACAAGGGGTATATCTGACTTTACTATGACTTTGCTATGACTTCTCTTAATGTAGTGTATTTCCTACTGCATTGTCTCGAAAGCTTTGATACTATAATATAAATACAAAGAGGAAGCTAGGGAGGGAGATGAAGTCTTGCAAACAAAAATGAGCAGAGCTGTGTAATCAGTTCAGAGACAGAGGAAGCTGTCCTGACTGCTATGCAGACAGGCATTAGTATATGGAGCTGACACAAGGCAGGAGAGAATTCATTGCATAAACACACAGCTTTGTATTAGTACCACTGAAATTCATATGCAGTGACAAAACACAACCTTTTAAGAGGTTAAAATCATGAGCTGTTGTATTAGAAGTAAATTCTAATTTAAGCATCTGTGTTAAGGTGGACCAATACCTTTCTGGACAGCTTTAATAATTCTCAGTGTTTAATAATTCTCAGGGTTCTGTATGTTTCGCTGCTTAAAAGGCTGGTAATTTTTGTGGGGGGCAGACAGAGATAAGATGAGGATTTTACCTGTTTACACCATTCCTGTTATTTCCATGATGTGCCTGTGTGAATTGCAAGTTGTGGTCTAGCTCTGATGTGAGAATTGCAGAATTGCTGGGTACCTCTCATT